TTTTTTAATTCAATGCACAACTGTAGCCTGCAGTGTTTACTGATGAATCGATTTTTGAAAATCAATTTATATTGAAAATAAGACCACAAATATGCAAGAAACATACAACAAACTGTACAATCGATCAACATTCACAAAAATCTAGAATATATAATTGCCTACTGAGGTTAAATTTAACCTTCACATGTGATGCATATCAGTAATGATGTCAGTAAGAGACACATGGTTTACAGCATGACTGATGTTGCGAACACATGTCAGACTGAACCATGAAGAGTGTTGACAGAGAGTTTGAGAGTGAACATATCTAAACCAGTAATGTTGACCAACCCGAACACACGTCCTGTGTGCTGGGTCATTTATCTGACTCCAGACAAGATCTTAGCTCAAGTTGTAATTGCATTTGTCAATCTGAAAGCAAGACTGTGAGATCGAATCCTTCAGGCGTTTCCATCAGATGCAAATATCACACCAAATACAACAGTCAGGATTATGAGCCCTCCTGAATTATTAGTGCAGGAAGTGCATTTTCAGATTTCACTTATAAGAGCAAACTTTTTTTTTTCCTAATGACATGCACAGATGAATTGTTCACCACAAAACTTTAACTTTAAGATGAATTGTTCACCACAAAACTAGCAATGCGAGCTAACAACATCAATATGATCAGCTTTGATTTCATTTGTACTTTAAAAGTAACGCCTTTGCTGACAGACGGGTCACACTGAACAGAAGCTGAAGGAAATGAAAGGCTCCGACTCTAACAGCAGCTGCTCTGTGTGTCAATGTTTAGAGAATCTGCCTTTACGCCTGCCTATAAATCTCGCCGCTCCGTCCGGCCGGCTGGACTCGGGTTACTAGAACTAGTATACACTGGTTATGGTAGAAACCCCCCTAAACACACTTTTACTTGACTAAAACACCAGAGAAATGACTTTGTGGCACGAGAGGTTCACACTTTCTCCTCTCTGATGCTATTTAATTTAAGACAGATATTGTTATTGTTAAGTTTAGACACAGAAAAAAAAATACTCGAAGATGATTCCTTGGATTTACATTTTTATTTATTATTATTGTTTAAGTGGATGTGAAAAATGCTGAATTTAAACAAACAAGTTAAGTTGAACATTCATTCATTTTCCTTTGGTAAATATAAGACCATCTGGGAATAGTTATATGAACGTAAAGTCTTATATATGAATGTCTCTTTATGAAAACCAATTCCAATACCAACCTTGTAACTATTATCTGTTCTGTTTACATATATACACTTACAGGCCACTTTATTAGGTACACTTTACTTGAACCAGGTTGGAGCCCCTTTTGCCTTCAGAACTGCCTTAATCCTTTATGGTGTAGATTCAACAAGCTACTGGAAATATTCCTCAGAGATTTTGCTCCATATTGACATGATAGCATCACACAGTTGCTGCAGATTTGTCGGCTGCACATCCATGATGCCAATCTCCCGTTCCACCACAACCCAAAGGTGCTCTATTGGATTGAGATCTGGTGACTGTGGAGGCCTTTTGAGTACAGTGAACTCATTGTCAAGTTCAAGAAACCAGTCTGAGATGATTCACGCTTTATGACATGGTGTGTTATCCTGCTGGAAGTAGCCATCAGAAGATGAGTACACTGTGGTCATAAAGGGATGGACATGGTCAGCAACAATACTCAGGTAGGCTGTGGCGTTGACACGATGCTCAACTGGTACAAATGGACCCAAAGTGTGCCAGGAAAATCTCCCCCAACCCATTACACCACCACCACCAGCCTGAACAGCTAATACAAGGCAGGATGGATCCATGCTTTCATGTTGTTGATGCCAAATTCTGACCCGACCATCCAAATGTGTCAGCAGAAATGGAGACTCATCAGACCAGGCAACGTTTCTCCAATCTTCTATTGTCCAGTTTTGGTGAGTCTGTGTGAATTGTAGCCTCAGTTTCCTGTTCTTAGCTGACCGGAGCGGCACCCGGTGTGGTCTTCTGCTGCTGTAGCCCGTCCGCCTCAAGGTTGGACGTGTTGTGTGTTCAGAGATGCTCTTCTGCAGATCATGGTTGTAGTGAGGAGGAGGAGGAGGAGCCGGCCGCAGGGACGACAACCGGGATCGAGTCTGGGGAACAGTGGTTCCAGAAATCAGGTAAGATGAAAAACAGAATCTGAAAAATAAGGGCGAGAATGCGGCGGGATCCGAAAACACGAGAGCTTTTGCTTTTTTTTTTTCTGGACGGCTTTTCCAAACCATCGGTTGGGTTTATGGAAGGAGGAGGAGGAGGAAAAGAAGGGCAGCCGGGTCGGCCGATCCGGCGGTTTTTCGCGCAAGAACAGCGCAGGCGCGAACGGCACACGCTCCCGAGAGGCGAAAAAGCGCGCACAGGGGCCTCTCGTGGATCCGTGAAAACAAAAAACGCTCGAATACGTACCTCCCGGGACGTATCTCACGGTCCGCAGAAATGTCTGCAGGGCTACGTTTCCATAATGAGCGGGTTGTTTACTTATTAGGGGTTGCTACAGCGGAATGAACCGCAAACTATTCTGACATTTGTTTTACACAGTGAACGCCCTTCCAGCTGCAACCCAGTATTGGGAAACACCCATACACTCTTAAATGCACACTCATACACTACAGCCAATTTAGTTCATCAATTCCCCTATAGCGCATGTGTATGGACTGTGGGGGAAACCAGAGCACCTGGAGGAAACCCACACCAACATGGAGAGAACCATGCCAACTCCACACAGACATGCCAACTGGCCCAGCCGGGACTTAAACTAGAGACCTTCTTGCTGTTAGGCGACAATGCTAACCACTGAGCCCCATCAAAAACAAGTTAATCTTAATTTTTCTGCAATAAAATAAGAAAAAAAGAAATACAAAAGAATCTGTTCTACTGCAGACAGAAATTCCCCTACTCTACATCCTCGCATTAATTTAACAGTAAATGTTGACTGCCCCTTCAAGTCTAGAGCTTTAAAAATAAATTCATATTGAGACTTTTGAAAGCACATCAGAGCGCAAAACCTCCTCTGAAACTCAATGAGACGTGTGTGAGATCACTGCGGACGTATTTATCAGCCAATAAAAGTGGAAGGATTCACTTTTAAGATGCCGCTCATGTTTAAGCTTCCAGAGGCATCTTGTGAGATCTGGCTTTTGGCTGCACATGACTGTATGTGTGAACGTTTCCATAAACATATCTTTGATCTTATGATGATGATGATGATGATGATGCATATGGCAGAGTTGACACACAGCAACACTTTAAAACCAGCCAGAGCACGGTAGAAACAACTTGGTTTGTTTATTTCAGTGTTTCCTGCACAGTATCTTTAGTACTATGGCCGTTTTTGTCTTGAAATCACATCACAGTGTGTTTTAAATGTGATTTACAAGTGTAACTGGGTGCTCATGGGTAAAATTAAACAAAAAAGAAGGTAATGATTCGCACTCAATTGCTTCGTACTGGTTTTATTTTTACTTTTTCTTACATTTTACGGGTGACACTGAGGAAGGCTTTGTGCCGAAACGTCTGTTATCACCCGTAAAATGTAAGAAAAAGTAAAAATAAAAACAGTACGAAGCAATTGAGTGCGAATCATTACCTTCTTTTGAATAATAGTAACGATCAGATTACCGCACCAAACCTAAGAAGTAACTAAAAAAACCGCAAGCGCGCAGGACAAACTTCAGTAACTCGGCACACGTAAAATAAAACACAACACATGAACACATGACGTGATGATCCCAAGGATTCCATATCCGGGACCAGGCCATATCCTGAGCTGCTGCTGCGCTGATGGTCGTGGGGAGTGGAGAACATGAGTCTGATTCCAGCGACGCTCCAGGGACAGACGAGTCTTCATTGAGGCCATCTTCCAGCATAAACCACGGCGAATGAAGCTCTGCACAAGACTTTTGGCCAGCGGAGAAATTAAAATGGTCGTGCTCAACTGAGTCTGGTTCTCTCAAGGTTTTTTTTCTTCACTCCCATCAGGTGAAGTTTTTTTTTCCCTCTCCGCTGTCGCCACTGCCTCGCATGGTTCAGGATTGGTAGAGCTACGCATCGATGAATTTGCTCTTCAGTGTTTGAACTTTC